ACACCTACCCATATTTATAATAATATATATACATACAGGCATACCTTGTTTTATTGTGCTTTGCATTTCACAGATATTACGTTTTCTGAAATTAAAGGTTTGTGGCAACTCTGCATCAAGTAAGTCTATTGGCACTATTTTTCCAACACATGTGCTTACTTTGTGTCTCTATGCCACATTTTGGTAATTCTCTCAATATTCCAAACTTTTTCATTATTGTATCTGTTATGGTGATCTGTGATCAGTGATCTTTGATATTACTATCAGGACTGTTCTGAGGCACCATGAACCACGTCCATATAAGATAGCAAACTTAATCGATAAATGTTGTGTGTGTTCTGACTGTTCCACTGACTGGCCGTCCCCTTTCTCCCTCTCCTTGGGCCTTCCTATTCCCTAAGACACAACAATACTGAAATTAGGCTAATTAACAACCCTACATTTAGAACAATTAATAACCCAACAATGGCCTCTAAGTGTTCAAGTGATAGGAAGCATCACATGTCTCTCACTTTAAATCAAAAGTTAAAAATGATTAAGCTTAGTGAGGAAAGCATGTCAAAAGCTGAGACAGGCCAACAGCTAGGCCTTTTGTGCCAAACAGTTAGCCAAGTTGTGAATGCAAAGGAAACGTTCTTGAAGGAAATTAAAAGTGCTACTCCACTGAACAAATGATAAGGAAACAAAACAGCCTTACTGCTAATATGGAGGAGGTTTTAGTGGTCTGGATAGAAGATCAAAGCAGCTACAACATTCCCTGAAGCCAAAGCCTAAACCAGAGCAAGGTCCTACCTCTCTTCAATTCTACAAAAACAGAGAGAGGTGAGGAAGCTGCAGAAGAAAAGTTTAAAGCTTGCAAAGGTTGGTTCCTGAGGTATACGGAAGAAGCTGTCTCCATACCACAAAAGTGCAAGGTGAAGCAGTGATTTACCCAGAAGATCTAGCAAAGATCAGTGATGAAAGTGGCTAACTCTTAATGACAGATTTTCAATGCAGACGAAACAGCCTTATATTGGAAGATATCATCTAGGACTTTCATAGCTAGGGAGAAGTCAATGCCTGGCTCCAAATCTTCAAAAGACAGGCAGACTCTCTTCTTAGGAGCTAATGCAGCTGGTGATTTTAAGTTGAAGCTAATGCTCATTTGCCATTCCAAAAATCCTAGAGTCCTTAAGAAGTATGCTAAATCTACTCTGCTTGTGCTCTATAAATGGAACGACAAAGCCTGAATAACAGCACATCTATTTGCAGCATGGTTTACTGAATATTTTAAGCCCACTGTTGTGACCTACTGCTCAGAAAGGATTCTTTTCAAAATTACTGTTCACTGATAATGCACGTAGTAATCCAAGAGATCGGATGATGTGCAAGGAGATGAATGTTGTTTCCAGGCTTATAGCGCATGGATCAAGGAGCAATTTTGACTTTCAAGTCCTATTATTTAAGAAATACATTTTGTAAAGCCATAGCTGCCACAGATAGTAATTCCTCTGATGGATCTGGGCAAAGTAAATTGAAAATCTTTTGGTAAGGATACATCATTCTAGACGTCATTAAAACATTCGCAATTCATGGGAGGAGATTAAAATATCAGCACTGACAGGAGTTTGGAAGAAGTTGATTCCAACCCTCATGGATGACTTTGAGGAGTTCAACACTTTCTTGGAGGAAGTAACTGCAGATGTGGTAGAAATAGCAAGAGAACGAGAATTAGAAGTGGAAACTGAAGATGTGACTGAATTGCTGCAATCTCATGATAAAATGGATAAGAAGTTCCTTCTTACAGATGAGCAAAAAATATGGTTTCTTGAGATGAAATATGGTTTCTTTCTCTTGGTGAAGATGCTGTGAACATTGTTGAAATGACAACAAAAGGGCCNTGGAAACTGAAGATGTGACTGAATTGCTGCAATCTCATGATAAAATGGATAAGACGTTCCTTCTTACAGATGAGCAAAAAATATGGTTTCTTTCTCTTGGTGAAGATGCTGTGAACATTGTTGAAATGACAACAAAAGGGCCGGCCCGGTGGCACACTAGAGAGTGCGCCGCTTGGGAGCGCGGCGGCGCTCCAGCCGAGGGTTCGGATCCCATGTGGAGACCGGTTCCCGCTCACTGGCTGTGTGTGGTGCGGGCGCAACACTGAGGGTTGCGATCCCGTTGCCGGTCCCCCGTACGGGCGCGACACTGAGGGTTGCGATCCCGTTG